CAATTCACTTCCCTATGTAGGTATAAAGTCTGCAGAAGTCGTGATTTGGAGGGTCTGGACTTGGGGCCCTCAGTCCTGCCTGGCAGCAAACAACACGTGGGAATGTAGTTTCCAGAAGTGAACCTCTGTGCTTTCAGACCCTGCCCAGAAGTTCATCTCCTTGTGAGGGGGAGAAGGAGGCTATGGATCATGTGATTCAGAGTTGTCTGGCATCTGACCTCAGACCCACCTAGCAGCCAATACATGCAGCCAGAAGGCAGTCCCTAGAGGTCAAAGATTATATCAACCACAGCTCAATGCTTTGTTTCTGCTGTGGTCCTCAGGCTATGGGACTTGTTCCTCACCAGAGAGGGCACCCACTCTCCAACCACCACTCCCTTTGCTGCCAGAGCTCCCCCTCTGCTTGAACTTCTCTGCAGGTCCATGTCAGACCCTTTCTTTCTCCATGACCATTTCTCATGGCCATCTCTCACTTAGACCAATTGTGGCAAGGTGTCCCAAGACTCCCTGAGCCATAATTGTTCCTTCTTTTCAAGCCCCCATAGTAGTTCTGTCTCAAACAAAAGGCCCTTCTCCCAAGATGGCAGCTTACTATAGTTCTCCGGGATGAAGGGAGCAATACAATGTCTTTCTTCACCATACTGGCACAATCACTGTCTCACTAACTCCCTATGCTGGGTTTAAGGCTTGCAGGAGGTGGGAAATTATCCTGAAGCAGGAATTGCCAGTCTGTTGCCAGGGCTGTCAGACTTACCTGTGATTGCATCTTCAGCTTGCCCTCCCCATCCTGGGGAGCTGGGGATAGAACTTGGAACTATTTGCTCCTTTTCTCTGTTGCCTCTGTTTCTCTGGGCTTTTCTGCTATCTTGCCAACTCTTTTGTGATTCCCAATGCTATTCCTCTCTTTTTGTCTTCAGAGTATAGATGTTTTTGTTACCCAACTATTCTCATTCACAAATCCAAATGGCAGACACTTCTACTCCAACATCTTGACCCATCTCCAATGTCAGTCATCTTTTTTCCTACTGGGAAGCCATTTTCCTACACAGACTTCCTTTAGTCTTCATCATAATATCAAGATGTCTACTAGGAGCTGGGTCATGGTAGCACTATCAACACAAAGAGAGGCAAAAGGGGCTGGCAGAGGAGCTCAAGTGGTAGTACACCTCCCTGGAAAGTGTGAGGCCCTGAGTTCAAATCCCAGTACTGCAAAAAAAGGAAAGGAAGGAGAGTTAAAAAATAGAAAACTATTTAAAATTAAAAATCTCTTTATCCTAAATATCCTGTATAGACTCAATTTTAAAAAATAATTTTGTATTTTAATTAGAGGTTTAACTATTTATAATTAAACAGTTTAAATATAAAAATCATAGCTATGACTATTATCTACTCAGCCTACTTTATTAGATATAAACCAGTATTTATATTTTTACACTAGTAAAAATTGATGTTTTAAAAAATATTTGACAGCAGTTTTTAAGAATTTAGTTCTCAGAATAGGTCGCATACAAATATTAGTACTCCCTGACTAGCCAACGACTTGCAGGAAGTTACAGAATTTGTGAAGAGAATATGAGTTTATGAAGAGGTATGTGAAGAGAATATCTTTTCAGAAGTGCCTAAAAGTCATAATGAGATAAAATTTTTTCTAGCTGCTTTTAAGACTTTTCTCCACCATTGATTTTGACCAATTTGGTTATGGTGCATATTGGTGTAGTTAACTTCTTGTTTCTTTTGCTTAGAGTTTGTTCAGTTTCTTAGATCTGTGAGTTACAGTTTTCTACAAATTCAAAATTTTTTCAACTGATTTTCTTTTCAAAATTTAATATCCTTCTCTGCTAGTCCTATCTTATCAGTTCTGGGTCCATTTTGATTGATTGGTTGGTTGGTTGATTATTCTAATTATGTGTAATATTTCCTGTTGCTTACATGTCCACTAATTTTATTGGATACCAAACACTGGATTTTACCTTGTTGGATGCTGGATGTTTTTTAATTCTCATAAATGTTCTTGAGCTTTGTTTAACTGAGACATAGTTAAGTTACTTGAAAAAAGTTTGATCCTTTCAGGTCTTACATTTTAAATTTGTTAGAACTAGAATGGTTTTCAGTCTAGGGATAATTATCCCCTGTCAGTGAAGCAAGATTCTTCTGTGTACTCTACTTAATGCCTGTGAATCTTTTCCCATTGGGTTGGTAGGAATGAACAGATACTATTTCCATGCTTTGTGTGCATCTACCGCTCTTCCCTATAATCTTTTCAGGTGGTTTTTCTGCCTGGCCTGAAGTAGGTTCCTCACACACATGTGCTGATCATTATAGATTACTTGAGGGCCCCTTCTGCAGATCTGTAGACTTCTCTCTCTGCAACAGCTCTCATATTCCCAGAATAAATTCCTGAACATGATAACCATCCCAGTTCCATCCCCTCAGCAGTCTTCCAGGCTTTACCTGGATTTCTGCTCCCTGTGTAGAAACCTGGAAACTACCCAAGGTAGTAATCTAGATAATCATAGGACTTAAGTGAGTTTCTTTTCCAAATGATGTCTAGTTCCTTGCACACTGCCATTTCATATACCTTTTTTTGTTGTTTATGGTTGTTTTATAAAGAGGATAAATCTACTCCGTGTTACTCTTTATTGGTCAGAACTATTCTAATGTTTAGGTAATTTCAGTTAGAAGTAATTTATAAAGAGAAATATGTGAAGTCACATGCCTGTGGCTCACACCTGTAGTCCTAACTTCTGGGAGACAGAGATTGGAAGGATCACAATTCAAGGCCAACCAAGGCAAAAAGTTTATAAGACCCCATCTCAGCCAACAGCTGGGCATGGTGGTGTGCATCTGTAATCCCAGGTACACAAAAGGCTGAGATCAGGAGGATTGCGTTTGAGGACATCCCAGGTTTAAAAAGTTCATTAGACCTAGTCACAACAGAAAAAGCTAGACATTTTGGCACACACCTGTCATGCCAGCTAACATGAAGCCTAAAATAGGATGATCACAGTCCAGCACTGTGCAAAACAATGGGGGTGGTGGGGCTGGAGGTGTGCCTCAAGCAGAAGAGTACCTGCTTAGCAAGCATGAACCCCTGAGTTCAAACCCCAGTACTGTCAAAAAAAAAAAACAGACAGACAAGTATGTGAGAATTTTCAAATATTAATAGAGGACTGGCTTGATAAATTATGATATGCTCATAATAAAAGTATTTAGATGATCAAAAATGAAGTATAATTATGTGTTTTACCATGGAAACTCTCAGGGTATATCATTAGTGAAAATTAAATTCATTTCATGATTTAAGAAATATTTATTGAGCCCCTATTTTATGAAATTACCATGTACCATGTTACATATTTAGGATCTAATAATAAATAAGATAGATACTGTTCTACCTTTAAGCAGAGCATGTTGACTTAAATTCTGTTGTGAGCTGGGCTCATACCAATAATCATACCTACTTGAGAGACTGAGATTAGGAGAATCATGGTTCAAGGCCAGCCCTGGCAAATCATTCTTGAGGCTCCAATTCCAAAATAACTAGAGCAAAAATGAACTGGAGGTGTGGCTCAAGCGGTAGAGCACTTATTTTGCCCCATTCCCACAAAAAAATATTTCTATTGTGTGAGCAGGGGAGGTAATAGAAAAGAGATTATCATGTGTAGTGGTAAATTCTGTGAAGGAAATATATAGGTTGATATTGTAAAATGAATGGGAGGGGGAACACTTGTTTTAAATAAGGTGATCAGTGAAAACCTCTATGGAGAAATGACACTTTACCTGAGATATGAAGGATAAGGAGTCAGGGAACAAAGCAGAGAGAACAGCAAATACAAAGGCCCTGAAAAGGAGAGAAAGGAGGAACAAGGTTATTAAGAACAGAATAGTACAGAGACTACAGACATTAGATTATGTAGTGTTATAGACCCAAGCTGCAAAAAAGCATGTAATATTCCATTTATGTAATAGCCTACATAGTGTAATAAAATTTCTAGAAAGACATATAAATATGATTAACCATGGTTACTCCTAAAGAGTAGGAATGGAACTTGAAGAAAGTAGGGCAGAAATGGCTTATTTATACACTTCATTGCCGAATATTTTACCACAAAGGTCTATACTTTCCAAATTGAATAAAGTAATAGATTTATATTTTTAAATGAGTTCTTATAAGTTATCTTTAAAACAATAAACAAAAATGTGAATCCACTGTTCAAAAAGGAGAAATACCAATAAGCCTTTGAAAAGATATTCAGCCTACTAGTGATCAGAAATAATGCATTTTTTTTCACCTAGATAGTGGCAAAGACAAAAATATTGACAACATCCAGTTTTGTTAAGGGTATAGGCAGATAGATGCTCTCACGTACTTATTAATTGAAACTTTATAGAGAGCAGTTTGGCAATATATTTCAAGAACTCTGAAAAGTATGTATGAAAAGTCAGTATTGTTTTAGGAATTTAAATCAGAAAAAAGTCAAAGATGTGGATACAAGTCATTCGTCACTTACTACATGTTAGTAATAGTGGATAATTGAGCCCTGTTAATGTCTGTCAGTAAAAGACTGATTATTTAAATTATAATGTAGTCCACTGAATACTTTGTAGCTGTTAAAATTTATGATATGGTTATATATTTATTGACACTCAAGATGTCTACAGAATATTACTCAGTAAAACAGGTAGATTAGACTACTACAGGTGTGAGACTCCCTTTTAAAAAATTATATAGGCTTAGGTGCATTGAGAATTCCTGAAAGTTTTATACAAAACTATCAATAATAGCTTTTGCTGTAGTAGGCTTTTAATATATTTTAATTTTTATAATGAATATGCATCAATTTTCCAATGAGTTAAAAATAATCTTTTAAAAAGTTATTATGTGGAGCATTAGTTACTCCTGACAAGTTTATTTAAATATGCATATGTTTTGATAAATAATAAAACTTAAATATGATTGATCTGGACTAATTGATTTTCATAACATTTTAATTTTGTAGGACTAGAAGAAATTGCAAAGGAAAAAGAAAAACTTAAAAAGGTAGAAAGTATCCAAATTAAAGAAGAAATGTTTGAGACTTCTGGGGACACTTTAAATTGTTCAAATACAGATCACTGTGAGCAAAAGGAAGATCTTAAAGAAAAAGATAACACAAATCTGTTTCTTCAGAAACCTGGCTCTTTTTCAAAATTAAGCAAGCTTTTAGAAGTAGCTAAGATGCCTCCTGACTCAGATATTATGACCCCAAAACCAAATGTTAGTGCAAATGGGTGCACATTGTCTTACCAGAACAGTGGGAAACCTTCAGTGGGCAGCATTCCACCAGCAGCAACACAAAGCAACATGGAAAAGACCGACTCTAATTTGTTTAACACTGGCTCAAGTGGTACAGGGAAGTTCTACAGTCCTCTCCCCAATGACCAGTTATTAAAAACACTGACCGAAAAGAATAGACAATGGTTTAGCCTTTTGCCAAGAACACCTTGTGATGACACTTCACTTACTCACGCTGATTTGTCAGCTGATTCTTTGGTAACTCCTCAGTCTCAGCCACCATCTAAGTCACCTTCACCTGCCCCTGCTCCTCCTCTTGGGTCATCTGCTCAGAATCCTGTTGGCTTAAATCCATTTGCTTTATCACCTCTACAGGTGAGTACTGCTAGCTCAAACTCATTATGATATTGCTTTATTTAGTCTTTGACCCACTGAAGCTTTTCACTAGAGGGGGATTATTCCAGTAGTACAATGTCCTTGCCACAATCTGAAAATTGTCAGAATATCCGTCACCAAGCTTCATTAGAGCTACTGATTTCTAACCAATGTCTAAGTCTGCTTTAAATATTTTTTATGTTGCAGCATAGCTAAAGGCAAGAATACTTTTGGGAGCAAATAAAAACATGGAATATAACATTGCTATTGCTAATGTATGTAGTTTTCCTCCTAATTGAGATAAATGAAAAAGTATTCAGAATTTGAAAAATAATTTCAGACTCTAAACATTGTTCCCAACTCCTTTGATTAAGTCTACTTTTTACAAATGTTTTGGTTTTACAGATGAAAAGTGGAGTGTCTATGATGGGACTTCAGTTTTGTGGGTGGCCTGCTGGTGTGCTTACTTCCAATATTCCATTTACACCACCTTTACCTAATCTTGGATCAGGGTTGGGATTATCAGAAGGAAACGGTAATTCATTCTTGACTTCCAATGTTGCTTCAAGTAAAAGTGAATCTCCAGTACCTCAAAATGAAAAGTCCTCCTCAGCTCAACCACCAGCTGTTGAAGTAGCAAGACCAGTAGATTTTCCTAGTCCAAAACCTATTCCAGAAGGTAGGTACATCAAGATGGCTTACAGCCACTTATTTTCTCTCATTATTATGGATTCCTATATTGCAACTGAGTCTCTGATGTGCTGTTATTTCCTATTCAAAATATTTGTAAAAGATCCACATATTTATCTTGACTTAGAAATGCAGTTTGGTTGGTGGAGAATTATTGACCCAGAGGATCTAAAAACTTTGCTCAAAGTGCTACATCTTAGAGGAATAAGAGAAAAGGCATTACAGAAACAGATTCAGAAACACTTGGATTATATTACTCAAGCCTGTATCAAGAATAAAGATGGTATGTACCTAAGAAATTTCTGTTCTCTTGCTTAGTTATGCAAACTTTTTATCCTAAAATATACTTTAATATGCTTTAAATCTTACTTATTACTATTTTTTTTTTTTTTTTGTCTTTTCTTTTTTGGTGCTGGGATCAAACCCAGGGCCTCACGCATGCTAGGCAAGCACTGTACCACCGAGCTACATCCCAGCCCACTTATTACTATTTTTTCTGTTTGGCTTAACAAAGAGTAACAATTTGTATTTCTTTAATTGATATTTCCTATGATTTTTAGCACACACACACATATTGTCTTGTGTCTTTTATAGAGATTGTTTCTATATGTTGTGAGATATACATGGTACCCCTGGAGTTTTATTCACTTTCTGGAAGAAATTACTGGGGGGGAAGTGAAGTGGATTTAAAAATTAATTTTTTTCTCAAATGTAGTTGCTATTATTGAATTAAATGAAAATGAAGAAAACCAGGTGACTCGAGATATTGTGGAAAACTGGTCAGTAGAAGAACAAGCAATGGAAATGGATTTGAGTATCCTCCAACAGGTAGAAGATCTAGAAAGGAGAGTTGCATCAGCAAGTTTGCAAGTGAAGGTAAAAATTGCTTGGAATAAAATCTGTGTTTAGGATAATGGAAGGTAACTACTTATTATATGCCTAACATACACCAGTTATAGTAAATGTTTTTTAGCTTATCTCATTTAATTCTCAAACAATAATTCCTCCCATCTTATAGGTAAGGAATCAGGCTTAGAGTAAATAACCTACCACTAGTCATATAACTAAGTGATTAATATGGATTCAAACCAAGCCTGTTTGACACTAAATCTTGCTACTTCCTTAATGGTATTCACAAATGTCACTTCTGGAATGGAATCCATTACCTGTAGCAAAATATCATAGCTTTCACCATGATAAATGCAGTGCTCAGTAAAGAATCTTATCTAACTCCTACAGTAGTGTTTTATATAGGACCAGGAACTCCCTTGTAGATAAACCATTGTATGTGTCAGACCTTCACTCTATATAATTTAAATTTGAAGAACAATAACAGGCATATGCAAATATATGTTATATTTTACAGACACAAACCCCCCACATATATTTGTAAAATGTATATACATTTTTCTAATGGCTGCAATGGACACTGATCAGAACTGGTCTTGAGTAGACAGGCAAAAGGAAAGCTTTACCTTTGTGCAAGAATTTTGGTTTTGAAAACAGGGTGTAAAGACCTTCCCACTGATAATAAGATGGTATATGTAAGAATAAGTCAACTGATAGGCATAGAAGACAGAGATACCTGCAAAGACTTAAAACAGCTAGTCTCTATGATACCTGTTTTATTCAGACTGAGAAATTCATAGCATCATACTATTCTGCCCAGTAATTAAAATTTTGCTTCATAATTAATTTTGAGGATCTCCAAAAAATAGTTTTCTAGAGCTAATAAAATATCCCTGTCTTGCCACAAACATACTTACTAGTGTTTGGAAGCAAAATTTATCATTTGTTGAAGTTACTGTGCTAGGAAACTATATGTCTCCTCCTTCTGGTATCATAATATAATATTAAAATGCCTCATTTATGTGGCATTTCAACAAGTGAACTCTTCCACACAAGTTAGTTTTCTGGAAAAATGAAAATTATTCCATTTGGTTCCATATTTTTTAACATTTGTTGGATCTCTTAGGTTATGTATTTCACTGCCTTCTTAAATTGAGAATCATGAGTATAATTTAAGTTATCTTGGTGTTAAATTATCTTGGTTGTTAATTTTCCAGTTTTCCTCCAACTTTTCCATCTAACTTGCCAATTCTAATTGACTATCAGTTTGGAAACTATATCATCAAGCTTCTAAAAATTGTGTTTACAGTCAGAATGCAGGCATACAACATTTTTCTGGTGACATAGTCAGATTTGAGTGCCAGTACCTTACCACATTGCTGGCTCCCTAAATGTCGTTGGCTATTTTCTCTGAAGCTGAAATAAGTGTAATTTACTATTTGAATGGGATATTTTAGTAATAAATGGGATATTTAGTTAATAAGGTATTTATGGATTATTCTATATTATTTTAAGGATTGAATTGTAATTGTTAGTCTTAAATACTCTAAGAAAATGTGATGGGAAAAGTAGTGAAAATCTTCATTTTCCTTAAAAAGAAAATAGAGTTATCTGTGTAGCTTATGGAACTAGCAACTATGAAAAAACATTAAACAAGTAGACTTGGGGGGGGAGCACGGGGCAGAAGTGGCCCCAACAATGTATGCACCTGTGAATAAATAAATTTAAAAAACAGGTAGACTTGACCTACTTAGGTTCACTTATTGCTATTTTTAACATTGCTAATGAATTTTAAACAAACTTTTATTAGCATAAATTAATAGTAGTGCAAGTGGGTTTATTGTAATAATTCCACAGATGTGTACAGTATACTTTGAACAAGTTCACCCTGTCTATTAACATTGCTAATAATTCTGAAGTTTTCTTTTTATATTTTAGGAAAATCTGTGAGCCCTAATACTGGTTCTGTTTTTTAGAAAATACAAAAAGACTAATTGTTTTCAGCTCCTCTAAAGCTAGCAGTTACGTCTCTTTTTTTTCTTTTATAAGCTAATTCCTTAAACCATTAGTCCTATGAGATTGGTTCCAGGATCGTGATTCTCTTCTGAATAAGCAACAATGTCAATTTCCTCCTTAAAATGTACCCATAACTGTACAGAGGGATGTCTAAATGTGTGTGTTTCCTTAATCTGACATTATACTTCTATTAACATTATTTGAATTTGTGCCACCCTTTTAGAGTACCCTTTAGTACTCTTGCTTTCCTGAGTATGCACTGTAACAAAAAATACTTTTCAGTGAGTTCTGTCACGTGTGGTATTTCTGTCATTAGTCATGTAAACCTCAAAGCTAAAATTTCCATTTATAATTGTTATATGCTTATTAATTTCATTTTCAGCATATGGAACTACTTTTACCTTAGTCCTGCCATCCAGAGTATTAAACTTACTTCCTAGTTGTAAGTCCTACAGATTTATAGCAATCAACTAAGTTATTCCTAAATGCATTAACAGAACCAACCAAAAGAAGAGCCTTTGGGCATTGGCACTAAGGATCTTTTCTGAAATTACAAGCTCTGTTAATTGTCAATTTGGGATATGGGTCTTAGCCATCTAAATTTTAAATTTCTCTAACTCTAGTTTTTTTTGGTTTTTTTGGTCACATCACTTGCCTTGTAGAAATCAAGATATACTATGTTTGCAGTGTTCTCTTTATTTAGCAATTTTTATATCCCTTTCAGAATATGGGAAGGAGATTTGTTTGACATGACTTGTACCTATTCATTTATGTATGTTACGCATAATTCTGCCCTACTCAGGGCCTCATCCATGCTAGGCAAGTACTTTAGTACTGAGCCACATTCCCAGCCTTCATTTTTCCATTGTTGTTGTTTGGGGGAGGGGTGACAAGGTGTCACTATGTACACAACCCAGGCTGACTTCTTTGAACTTTCTTGCCTCAGCTTCCTATGCTGCTATGCTTGGCTTCCCATCATTTCTTTTTAAACATAAATATTCTGTTGAGATAAGTGGGGAGACTTCATCCTACTGTATAGAAGAAAATAGTTATCTCTAAAGAGACTTCAGTTTTTAAATTTCATGTCATTTTTCATTTATTATGCATTTGTTAAATAGCTATTCCATGTTAGACAGTGGACACCACAAAATTGGTCAAAATGTGGTTCCTATCCTCAGAAAGCTTGGCATATAATAGAAAAGTAAGGTATGTATATGTATACATACATGCAGAATCTAGGAAGCAATTCTAGAGAAGTACAGTGTTATGCATGAATTTTCAAAAAGAACACTCAATTTCTGATGGAGCTATGGAAGAAATCAGGGAAGATTTCATGTAGAAGATGAGATAAAATATAAGAGGGTGAGTAAGATTTGACAGACAAAGACCAAAGGAAGTACATAACAGGAAGTGGGAACGGCATGAACAGAAAACCAAGATGGGGATGTCTATCATGTCTGTAAAGAAGCAAGTCTTGGGATTTACATAGAAAACTGAAGAAAAGAGGTACTTGAGTGCCCTGGTAAGATTTGGGACTTTGTTAAAATAGTGAAGAATATTTGAAGGCTTTTTGAACCAGAAGTTCAGTATGAGCAACCTAAGTTATACGATTGTTTATTTAATTAATATGTATGTAGATAGATAGATAGATATGTATGTATAAAGATACATATTGAGTGCCCACTGTATACCTTCACTGTGCATAAAAGTGGATAAAAGCAGACATGATCCTTGTGAGATTTACAAGTAGATAAATGGTAACCAAATGATCATGCTAGTGTAAAACTGCAACCATGACAACAAGGCTGTGGAGCATTTTATGGTCCTAGGAAAGCCTGTGATTGGAGGACTTACCTCAAGGAGGTTGAGGAAGGGCTCCTCAGGATGCTTCCATGTTAAAGTGAATTTTAACATGAGAGCTTCAGAATAAGTGAAGTTAACTAGATGAAGAAGAACAGAGAAAAGCTATACAGACAACAGTAACAGCTTATGCATAGTCCCTGCAGCCAAAGGAAAAACGGTAAGTACAAGGACCTGCTCAGAAAAGTAGGAGAAGGTGTGAAAACAAAACAAGAGCGAAGCTCACAGACCACTGAGACATTTCCTTTTTAGTAAGCCCATAAAACAAATAAACCATGTTAGTATAAACCTCTTAGAATACTTTTCTGGTTTTTATTACACCTTTCATAATATCAAAAGTTGATAAATGCTCTTCATATCTGTCTTACAACTATTTCTCTTTTGCTTTTGTTTTATATATTATTAGGAAACACAAGATAAAGCTTTTAGTAAAGATCCTTGAGATCTGCTGGTGTCTGCTGCTTTAAGTAAAGGTAACTCACTCATCTGGCATTTTAAGAAGAAACCATAATAACTCTTCTCTTGATACATAGGGTTGGATGTGTCCAGAGCCCGCATCAGAAAGGGAGGACTTGGTATATTTTGAACATAAGTCATTTACTAAGTTGTGCAAGGAGCATGATGGAGAACTTGCTGGCGAAGAAGAACACAGTGCACATGCACTAGAGCGGAAGAGTGACAACCCCCTAGATATAGCTGTAACCAGGCTGGCTGATTTGGAGCGGAACATTGAGAGAAGGTATCTGAAGAGCCCCTTAAGTACCACCATTCAGATCAAACTGGATAATGTGGGCACAGTTACTGTCCCTGCTCCTGCACCATCCGTTAGTGGTGATGGTGACGGGTAGGTTATTGAGATTAACTTGAAAAATTATTGTGCTTCTTGCTAATTGGAGCCTATTTTCTATTGCCTGTTATCTATGTATCTTCTTGTATGTCTGTGATCCACATGGGTCATGCTATTTGCATGGTGCTTTGTAAAAACTTTTTTTTTGTTGTTATGTGCATTGATAATCTTGCAAAGTGATCTTACATTTACCTGGTTGTGACTAAGCTTTGAGGCACGTAGCCACAGTCTGTGCACTACATCAAATTTAGTTGCTTAAACTTTATACTTATTGGCTGTTACATGTTACTGTCATTGCTTGGCTTTCAGTGTGATGATTGTTTCACATTCAGTAACCATAAATATGGACATGACCTACTTAATTTTTCTATATTTCAATGCAGAATTGAAGAGGATATTGCTCCAGGGCTCAGGGTATGGAGAAGGGCATTAACAGAAGCTCGCAGTGCTGCACAGGTAGCTCTGTGCATTCAGCAATTACAGAAATCAATAGCATGGGAAAAATCAATTATGAAAGTTGTAAGTGTTTTTATTTAAGAAATACTATAACTAATTTACTTTGTCCAACCTGTTTTCCAACTTCCAGATCTTTCTTAATTATACATTACCTACTGTCACATCACAATAATGTATGCTGTAGTTGAGAGTTCCTCTAACCCTTAAACACCATGTGATCTAGTGCTTTCCTCATCTTTGGAAGGAACCTACCAAATTTGTCTTGTCTTTTTTTAAAAAATAATTATGCTTCTGTCTCCTTTGAATGTTGTTTATAATTGTAAACTGAAATGATTTCATATAGAACAGTTGTTAGCCTCAATATTGTAAGGCCCTTCCACTCCTGTAAACATTTCCGTTGCTAATATTGCATTCCTGAAATGTTGTACTTTTTTATGTTTTCGTTTTTTAATGCTAAGAAGTAATCAGATAAACACAGAGTGTTCAAGCTTTATGCGCCTACATGATTGCATCAGATATTACCAACATGAAAAGGAGATCTTTTAAACTTTCCTCTAATAATTAAAACTAGTGTCCCACTTCCTTTTTACAAGCTCAATTTACTGTTATCACAGAATGAGCCTTCACTTCATACCAGGCATCAAAATGCTATGTATTCAAAATAAAAACTATGATTCATATGCTTCTAGAAAGATACTTGTTTTAAATCATGTTTTTGTACCTCTTGTTTTATACATCATATATACAAGTATCTATTATATGTAGACTTTTATGAATCACTTTTAACATTTTCTTTTTTTTTCAGTACTGGGATTTGAACTCAGGGCCATGCACTTACTAGGCAGGTGTTCTGCCACTTGGGCCATACCACCAGCCATTTTTTACTTTCAGGTATTTTTCAGATAGGATCTCACTTTTGCCTCAGGCGGGCCTTGGTCCACAGTCCTCCTATCTCTGCCTCCTAAGTAGCTGAGATTACAGGTATAAGCCACCAGATCTGGCCCAACTTTTACTTTTGAATTACAGGCTCAATTTAAAATTCAAACATTTGAGATTAGTTTTCATGAATGGCTAAAGGTAAAAATTCCTTCCCTTAAAATAGTCATTCCCCAAAGAGAAGAAGAGATCCTTAAATAGGTTGACATATTTTTCTTTCATTTTTACCTCTATGATTAGGCCAGTCAAAGTCTTAACCCATTTTATATGAATAAATTTGCTCTCTTTGGTTTCTAACTTTTTCCTAAAATGTCTTTGGAAGTTGAATCTGTATTTTTACAATATGCTCAAATTTAGGTCTTTCTGAGTTCACATTAGAATTTGCTATAAGTTTTAAGACATTGTTCAATTCATCTGATAGTATTTTCTTAAATATTAAAATATTTATCAACAAAAATATGTTTCTCCTTAAATTATTATTAAAGCAAGTTTAAAAGTTACCTTGGGCAAATACAATTATTGAAATCTAGGCTATAGTAATCAAAACAGATTGAGTTTTATATCAAAATGAAATTTACAGTTATAAAACTACAAAATGAAATTTGTAGTTTTTTCTAATCTACACAAAACAATCATCATGATGTGGTCAGTTTTGTTATGCACCTAAGCACAGAAACCCAAAACCTGTTTTCATATTAGTCTACTACTTTCATTATTATTGTTGCTATTGTTTTTTGGTTTAAGGTTTTTTGTTTTGTTTTGTTTTGCTTGAATTTGGCTGTTGTTTTTGTGTTTCAATTTTTTATTAGGATGTATTCATTATACAGGGGGGACTCAAAGTGACAATTCCAATCAGAATTATATTTTACTGTTTTTACATTTCCTCCATCATCTCGCTCCCTCAGCCCCTGTATTTTAATTTTTAAAATATTTGTTTTAAGAGCATATATTCATTTTACAGGGGGAATTTGTTGTGACACTTCTGAGTAGTCTTACGTTGTACATTAAGTTAAGTCACCCCACCATGTCCCACTTAAAACAATTCAGGAGGTTTCATCATTCTATTTCCTTTATGTATATGCAGCCCATTGATCCTGTTCCTTCATCTTTATTTGATTTTTGAAACAGGATCTTGTTGTGTAGCTCAGACTGGCCTCAAATTTGCAGTCTTCCTATCTCAGCCTCCTGAGTGCTAGGATTACATGTATGTGCTACCACGCCCAGTTAGTATACTTACTTTCTGCCATCTAAAGCTTTACTTCACTTTTTGCAAATTCATTAACCCTTCCCATGTTATTAATATTGATTTGTCATCATGTAACTCCATTTCCCATGATCTTCATCTTTATAAAAATGTTTATTAATACAATATTTTTGTGCTGGGAGTGTATCTCAGTGGTAGAGCACTTTCCTATCATGTGCGAGGCCAATAGATTCAATTCCCAACCCTGCAAAATATTAATAATAATCGTATACTATTCACTATGAAATTACCTTTTAAAAAGGGCAGTTTCACATTCAAAGACTAACAAGCACTTTGTGGTCTTTGATTAGAGACTTAACAGTGCCTATAACAGTTCCCATTACAAAGCCAAATAAAATGTTAAAGTGCTCAGTACCTTTGGAAATCCTCTCTTGTCCAGAGATCAGGCTTACCAGGAAAAAAGAAGCCTTCAGTTTGCCCCCACATAGTCCTCTGCTCAGAATATCTTTTATACTTTTTGATAGTAAACAATTGCCGACATCCACTCTTTTTTTACTATATTGACAAAGGAGTTAAAACTAAGTATTAATACATTTGCTCTAACATATTTTGAGTTGTTATCATGATTTCTCAAAAGAGCTATGAGTGTGATATCTGTCATCCTTCCTTTAAAAGTATGAGAAAATAATTTCATTTTTATATCAGACATGTAAGATACAAGATAGACCTTTGTACTATTTTTAGTGTCTGTTGTGGAATATAGTGAGAATTTACTTATATTTATAAATCTTATTTTTAATATTGTTATAGATATTTAAATATAACCTTCCAAATGTTATTTCTCAATGAGCATTTTATAATAGAAGTTTTAAAGATATAATTCAAATTTGGTGAAGTAACCCTACCTGAAGGTATTTAGTGATATAATATTAAGAAAATTCATAAAACAGATGCATATTTTTGGAATATTAAACTCTACTGCCTTTGTTCTTAATATACGTGTCACTTTAATAATACGTATTTAGTAGATGTCTTTAATATATGTTAGCCATTTTGATTAAGTTCTTAAACTGTCATTTGTTATATATATTGAATTATATAAGCTTATTTTATTTAGAGTTTCCCAGACTAATAAATAATGTTGTATTAGAAATTAAACAAAGTAAGTTTGAACTGTTAAACTGTTTCTTTATCAGATTACATATAAATACTTTTTAATTAGTATAAAGGAATACTGGTTTAAATGTTTTCATTTTTTAAAATACTGATTGTAAGACATGTTCTACTATGACTGGAATGTGAATTAAATATCAAAAATGTTAATGCTTACCATTTTTTAAAGCTACCTTGAATGTTTTTACTTGTCTAACTTCTTTCTCTTTGTAAAACTTGTTATACAGACTGTGTACACATGAAAATAAATGTCTCTTTACAGATTTACAGTTCTTAATAGTATTAGACACTGTTTCAATAGACAAGAAATAACTATTTTTAGTTCTAGAAACAAATCATAACCTTAAATTCCTTAATTTTCTTCTATCTGGTTCTTCTTGGAAATAATTTTGTAAGATCCCCATTTTCCACACTTGTGGCACATGTTGGATTTAGGTTTGTTTTCAAAGTTTCCCGAATTGGATACATTTTTCTCAGCTAATCACAAAACATAGATGGATAATTTAGTCAAAGTCTAGGAATACCTTTTCTTGTTATATGTAATTATGATATAATACAAGTTTCCTAATTTTGATCTTAAAAATTATTCTAACTCTTATTTCTTTCTCAGAATATCATAAGGATGCTAAGATAAGCAAAAGATGAAACACATTTTTAAACACCACGTATTAAAGCTATTCATTGCTTTATGTGCTCTAATGTCATGTTAATTATTTCATATGTTAATGTATACATGCTTCCAAAGTGTGTGCAGGCATTCAGCCTCTAGCTTTGTTCTTTGCAGTGTACCTGAAATGTGCATTTACCCCAAAAGAACTGCTCACCCCTCATGTGGTCCATATCTGTGTAATGAGAGATACATAGATATGTATGGCTATTGTATATTTTTAGCAAGTGGAATGTTCATTACTAATAAAAATTAAGAATTATGGTCTGTTTAGCATCCCAATAGGTTATTCATAGCAGAGGATTAATTTTAAATGATTTTTCATGTGTTATAGTACTGCCAAATCTGTCGAAAAGGAGACAATGAAGAGCTGCTTCTCCTTTGTGATGGCTGTGACAAAGGCTGTCATACCTACTGCCACAGACCCAAGATTACAACCATACCAGATGGCGACTGGTTTTGTCCAGCTTGCATTGCTAAGGTAAGACTGATATAAAACCAAGCTTTTTAATTAGCAGACCAAATGCAAAATTTTATGGCAGTTGGATTTTTTTTTAAGATGTGATTCACATACCATAAAATTTACCTTTTTAACAAGTCATTGGTTCTTAATGTATTCACAAAGTAGCATAGCCATCACCACTGTCTAATCCCAGAACATTTTCATAATCCCATAAACAGTAACTTCCTATCTACCCACCCCCAGCCTTTGGCAGCCATTTACCTATTTTCTATTAATTTGTCTATTCTTGTCATTACACACAAATTTAATCCTTGAATTTATGACCAGACATACACTATATTTGGCTTCATTCCCTTAGCATGATATTTTCAAAGTTCATCCATGTTCTAGTATACTTCATTACTTCTTTTTATAGTCAAATAATATTTCCATTGTATAGATTTACTACATTTTGTTCATCCATTCTCCAGTTGATGGGCATCTGAGTTGTTTCCACCTTCTGGCTGTTATGAAGAATGCTGCTGTTATCATTCATGCATGTGTTTATCAGTATGACATTATTTTTTTTTTTAATTTTATTATTCATATGTGCATACAAGGCTTGGGTCATTTCTCCCCCCTGCCCTTACCACCCACTCCGCCCCCTCCCTCTCCCCCATACCCCCTCAATACCCAGCAGAAACTATTTTGCCCTTATTTCTAATTTTGTTGTAGAGAGAGTATAAGCAATAATAGGAAGGAACAAGGGTTTTTGCTGGTTGAGATAAGGATAGCTATACAGGGCATTGACTCACATTGACTTCCTGTGCGTGTGTGTTACCTTCTAGGTTAATTCTTTTTGATCTAACCTTTTCTCTAGTTCCTGGTCCCCTTTTCCTATTGGCCTCAGTTGCTTTTAAGGTATCTGCTTTAGTTTCTCTGCGTTAAGGGCAACAAATGCTAGCTAGTTTTTTAGGTGTCTTACCTATCCTCACCCCTCCCTTGTGTGCTCTCGCTTTTATCATGTGCTCAAAGTCCAATCCCCTTGTTGTGTTTGCCCTTGATCTAATGTCCACATATGAGGGAGAACATACGATTTTTGGTCTTTTGGGCCAGGCTAACCTCACTCAGAATGATGTTCTCCAGTTCCATCCAAGTATGACATTATTATAATCATCTACTTTCTATGGATTTGTCTATTCTGGTCATTACATACAAATTTTATCCAATTCTACTGAATGAATAAACAAAATGTAAATCCATACACAGTGAAATATTATTTGACTATAAAAGAAATACTGTAATATGGTAGAACATGGATGAACTTTGAAAACACTGTGCTAAGTGCAAGAAGCAAGACATACTGTGTGTCTAACCACATATTGTATGATTACATTTGTATTCAATGACAAGAATAAATCCTCAAAAGTAGGTTAGTGGTTGACAAAGGCATGGGGGGGAATATTATATTTTATACTCTATTTTACTACATAGCAAGCTTCACATGGATTCTTACTCACTAATAGTAATTTCTTGATTTCTCATTACTTGATCATTTTTGTTATAGATAGTTAAAATGTAGTTCAACAGTAATCTTCACTGGCTGGACACGTATTATGCTTTAGCTTCACAATTGCAAAACTATAGGAAGTTTCTCTAATACTTTATGAATCACTAGCAGGTAAATGTTTTAAGTCTTGGGAGTACTTATTACCTGGCAATCCATTGGAGGTTTTACTTTAAGTAAATTTGCAAATTTGCTTAAATTAGAATTCTGGCTATCATTTGAAGAATAGATTTGGAGACATATGATCTTATCCAAGCCCTTCCTTTTTTTAGTTTAACTGGGCTTTGAACTCAAGGCTTCATGCTCACAAAGTAGACTTATTACCACTTGAGCCATGCCTCCAGTACACTGTGCTCTGTTTATTTTGGAGATGGGGATCTTGTGAACTCTTTGCCCGGGTGGCTTCAAACCACAATCCTACCGATCTCAGCCTACCAAGTAGCTAGAATTACAGACATGAGCCACTCACGCCCAGCTCCAATCCCTTCTATGTGACTTTTAAGCCTCTGCCTTTTTTATTTTTTAAATGCAGTAAACTAGATGTCTTGTTTCTTACAACAGCAAAAATATTCTAAATATTTGATTGTGATACATAAGGAAAAGTTAAGGTTTTTTAAAATACCTTTTCATTTAATTCTAGCTTTTTACAAATATGTGTACTATACGTCATACTCACAAATGGCTCTTTAATCATGATTTACTATCTTTATGCCCTGTGTGTACATTTGTGCATGCATATTAAGGACAGGTATATATATTTGTACACATTTATAGGTAAACACACATACAAACTCACATATTCCAATTTTCAAACTTTGGTGCCTACAAAGCCAAGCAAATAAGAAGAAAAATAAAGGGGAGGAATCAGTTGAGGTTATAATGTATACATATATACATGGAAATGTCACAATGAAACACCCTGTATAGCTATCTTAAACAAAATGGTTTTTTTTTGTTTTGTGGGTTTGGGGTTTTTTTTTTTTACAAAAACAAAAAACAGGAAGGCAAAGCAGATCGTGTCTTAGGAGCTGGTACCAGTGGGATTGGGGAGGATATAAAGAAAGACTATAGGAAGGAGAATATGGTGGAAATACTGTGTACTCATGTATATAAATGAAAAAATGAGACCTGTTGAAACTATTCCAGGAATGAAAGGAGAATGATGGAGGGGGTGAATTCAACTATGATATATTGTAAGAACTTTTGCAATTGATCACAAATGTAACCCAGTATAAACAATTAATAAAAAATAAATAAAATTCTTTCTTATCTAAAAAAAAAAAAAAGTATTGGAAGCCATACTTGGTAGTACACAACTATAATATTAGCACTTGGAAAGATAAGGCAGGAAGATCCTGAGTTCAAGACCAACCTAGGCTACATAGCAAGACTCTGTCTCAAAAAAAAAAAATAGTTTGACTTCTAGTGGGCACTCTTGCTATTTTGTGTGTAAGAATATGAGCCCCGGGTTTTTTTTTTTTTTTTTTCCAGTATCAGTTTTAATGATTTTAAGAAAGTCCAAAATTACGGGTTTTCATGCATGTCCTTCCAAATATTAAATGTTAGAAACAAATTCAAATTTTTATAAGTATCATATGAAACAAAATAGCACACTCCGTGAGCTGTTTACAACTGGGAGCCACCAGTTCACAACTTCTAATATATGTACGTATGTACACATAAATAATAGTTATGAGCCTTTGAACATGTACTTTAGAAGGTTCTGCTTAAAACCCACTAAAATTCCTGTTTGTATTTCGGCTCTAGCAAGTAAGGGAAGCCCAGCACGCCTATAAGGCCAACTCGGGGAGGCTGAGACTGGAGAATTACAGGTTTGAGGCCAGCATGGGCCACATAATGAGATAGTATCAAAAAAAAAAAAAAGAAAAGAAAAGAAAGAAGAAAAAGAATACAGAGAGAGGATAAAAGAAAGGAAGGGGAAGGGAGGAAGAAGAGGGGGTCCTGTATCCAAAAAGAAAGTAATCAGGTAACAGGGTAACTGTATAAAAGCTTGCTTTTAAAGATTGTAAATATGCACTCTCTAATTAAGTTATAAACATCATTTATTAAGGGAGTTTATTGCCTTTTTTGAAAATTACAAAAAAGTTTTGATTCTGTTTGATTTCAGTTTCATATTTTCGTTAATCAGATTATTAATGATCCCAATAAAGGGATCCTGAGTAATATATTAATTCAATAGAAAGCTAGAAGTCTTTGCCCTTGTTATTTGTGGAATGTTAGTTTTTAAATAAACACAGCTTTCTATCCAAATTAACAATCAGCATTAAATTGAAGAGTTTTCTTTATTATATTAAGCATTTTTTTTACTTTTTTAAATAATTTCTGTAGTGGTTAAAGTTCAATGTGATATGAAAACTCAAAACAATCAGATTTTAGTGAGTGAAAAATTCAATAAACTAAATGAAGATAATACTTAGTGAAATATTTTAATTAATGACAGCTGCGTGATTTTTTTGATATGTTACGGGAAAAGTGTTTAACCTACAGGTTGTTATTTTTTTTGTCAGTTAAAATATCTCTTTAACTTTACTTGCAACCTGTCAATAGAGAAACAAATAATTGTAAGTGCTTAAGGACAGTTTTTTGATAATGTTGTCAGAGCTCATTAAGTCCTCAAAGAAATTACTATGAAATACTCCAAAGAAATGTTTTCTACCAAATTCATTTCAAGAATACAGCCAACTCTCAAGAGGCAGAGATCAGGGGATCACAATTCGAAGCCAGACCCAAGGCAAATAGTTAGCCAGCCCTTTTATGTGATGGGTTTTTTTCTTTTTTCTTTTTTTTTTTTTGTGATGGGTTTTTGAAATCTGGAAAAAACCCATTACATAAATGGGCTGACAGAGTGGCTCAAGTAGTAGGAGTGCCTGCCTAGCAAGTATGAGTTTCTCAGTTCAAACCCCATTGCCACCAAAAAAAAAAAAAAAGAAGAAAGAATATAGCCAACTTCATTATTACTATTGTTGCCACATTGGTCATATATTTCTGCAGTCTAGAGTTTCTTTGTTAAGTAGTTTGGGATGGACCATTTTGGGAAATCATTACAAAAGTCATACATTGCTACTAACTTTACTTATCTCTTTCACGATATGTTATATTTAGTATAACATTTAACCCTCAAAAGACAGACTTATTTTCCTGTTTCTAAATTCACAGTTGAAGACCGTCATTGTGCTGCTTGCTGTCTGTAGTTAGGTTGCATAAGGCCACATTAAGATGTTTTTAGTCATGTAATTCTATTGCTAGAATGACCTTATGAAATATTTGGCGTATCTTATTTTACAGATGAGAAAGCAGAATGTCAGAGTTTTGCCCAAAATTTCACAGACAGATAGTAACAGAGCCATAGCTGGAATTCATATCCTTTGATTACAAATATACTGTCCTTTATCCATTTCTTTCTTTGCTGTTTTTTAAAAAACAAACATTTTCCCCTATCTTTGCCATTACTTTGAACCACAAATTTGTAGTACTCTTTTCTTATTGCAGATACTTTTTATTCTTTATCCAGAAAAAAATCAATTTTTAATAGTTTTTAAAGTAAAAGACTTTCCCAGTTGACACTTCATGAGCTCTTTTTCATATTTTGGCCTAGCTTTTTATTTTCTTCCCAACTTACTTATTAATACAGTCTGTATTTTTATTTATATTTGCCTGAGCATGTTGTGCTCTAAAAGAGTCTTTTTGTTTTCTTTAACATCATTAGTGACCTAGACTAAAGGAATACTGATGATAAATTCTGTGGTAGTAGCAAACATGGATCCGCATCTTCAAGTTTTAAGAATCTTGACAGATTTTTTTTCATGCTTTATTAGGTGTTAGCCTTACATTATAGGAGAAGAAATTCACAGATCCTTCTTAAAAATAATAAAATTACCAACCTTCTGGATGAGAGTTAATTCTTTTGGTTCTATCAAACTTTCATGATTTAAATAATAGATATGCAACCTTTATTTTCTTACACATTTCCCTTTTTTAATTAAAGGCAAGTGGTCAAACTATAAAAATCAAAAAACTTCATATCAAAGGAAAGAAGACTAACGAGTCAAAAAAATGCAAGAAAGTATCTTTAACAGGAGACACTGAAGATGAAGACTCTGCGTCAACAAGTAGTTCACTAAAAAGAGGAAACAAAGACCTCAAGAAAAGGAAAATGGAGGAAAACACCTCTGTTAACTTATCAAAACAAGAAAGTTGTACTTCTGTTAAAAAACCTAAAAGAGATGACTCCAAGGATCTAGCACTTTGCAGGTAATTTTTCAATTATTATGTACTATATATTTGTGACATCCCATTTCATATTGGAAACCTTTTACCCCATTAAGGATTACATTCTAACAATTTCTATAAATGGAAAAATCTCTCTCATGTGGGAGATACATACAATACAAATTCAAGCAATATTATAAAAAAAAGAAAAGCTGAGTGCTGGGCAGTAAGTAAAGCAAACCAGTCCAGTGACACTTACTCAATGACAAATTGAAGATTTAACCCAGAGTAGGTGTCCTGGGGAACTCGTAAACACTATAGGAGAAGTTTAATTTTTATAGTGCAAAAGAAGCATTTACATTATTTTGACTGCAACTAAATACTTTTAAATGAAGGTAGTAGAGCAAACAAGTGATACTGTTGGACAGAGAAGTGAATAAACTACTCAGATGGGAGAACCCCTTTAACAGAATTATGATACAGGTCAAACAAGAAATGGATGTGGGAAAATGCCTGTTAGTTGAAAAATATTTGGGGTTTTTTGTTGTTGTTGTTGCTGTTGTTGTTTCTGAGTCAGGATCTGGCTATGTAGCCCAGGCTGGCCTCAAACTTTCAGTACTCCTGTCTCAGCCTCCCAAGTGCTGGGATTATAGGTGTGCATCACCACTCCTGTTCTGGAAAGAATCTTGATCTTAAGAGAAATCTGTTTTCATTTAGTCTGTCTTTAGATCCAGTGTGGTCCAGAATATATGAACTTGGTTAGCTGTTACATTCATAAGATTTTTTACCACTGGTGGAGTGACTCATGTGGTAGACATGTCAAAAAAAAGATTTTTACCAATTTAAATGCAGTTGTCTTAATCTCTTTCTTTCTAGTTTTCCTTTTTTGTTTTATGACTTCTTTGTTTACAAAGCAAAACCAATGAATCCAATCTCTAATTATGTGTTTTCTTTCAGGTATCCAAACCTTGAAACCTTTGCGCTAGATGTCAGGCTTGTTTTTGACAACTGTGAAACATTTAATGAAGATGATTCTGACATAGGCAGAGCTGGTCACAGTATGAGAAAATATTTTGAAAAAAAGTGGACGGACACTTTCAAAGTGAGCTGAAGTTAAAATCTCTCCCTTTTTCTTTCCTTTCTAAACAAGGAGAAATGAGACCAGCAATGTGAACTGTATTTACACAGATGTGCAAGGCACATACATAATGACTTTTTTCCTTAAAATTAGTATAAAAAAAGCATCAGAAGAACACCATTTTTAAAGGCTCCACTCCTACAGCAACCAAAACCGCTGGTTATTGGTTTGTGTAATTTATCAACTAATTTAGGTAGAACAGGGAAGCACACCCAAAGAATTTTCAAAGGAAAGGGTGTTATAGTGCAATAGTAATTAAAGTATATCAAATCGCACTGAATATCCAACACCAGAGCTCTAATGTGGGAAATGGTTCTCCTTTTCCCTCTCAATAAATATCTATTTTTCATTTTTTTACTTTGTAGTTTATTTTTTAGTGAATGTATTTAATTTTATGAATTATTTATGATTAAACCACATCCAGAATCTTCGTTTTCTGTGAAAAGGAAGAACTAGAAAATTGCTTTAAATCTTGAAAATACAACAAGGAATGTTTTAAAATATAAAACAAAGCCAAGTTAAACTGTTTACACTGATGTGCTATAAAAGCACCAAAAATAAATTTTACTGTAGAATTACAAGTACATTTATATATATATATATATACATATATATATATGTTGCTGCATCACCTGTGTAGTTAAATTGTATTTCAAGACAGTGAAAAAATTGACATGTATATAATGTTCATTATTGTTTATATTAAGTCTTGTTTTAAATATGTATTATGTGTACATATTGTTTGGAGACATTATTGTTTATGCCTTAGAAGGATTGTAGCATTTTATTTTAGTCTGAAGGTAATTACAGCTATCTGCTTGTACAGCAGTTATCCTCTACCAGCACTGTGGCGTCTCCCTAATCTTGGTAGTGCCTGCCTTTAAAACAGGGTGTAGGGGATAGTAGTTTTCCATTTTTCTATTTTGTTATATAATTTCAAGCCACCAGGGCCTAAATTGAAGTATAATCATTTGTATCCATGTGGAAAAAAATTGTGACAGTTTCCTACACACACAGTATTTTTTCATAGAGACATTTCCCTCCCATTTGCCTTGCCTCAGAAATAAATTTAAAAGACATTTGTAACCACTGTGTTTTATCTACTGTGTGTTGTGGTGGCCTGTTGGAGGCAAATAGATCAGAATTTTTTTTGTACCTATGTAAGAGTACTTGAAGTTTTATTTAAAATAAAATGTTGTGGAAAAGGTAGCATTCTTTTTTTAGGAGTGTTATTTTTCACTACTATGTGTGGCACGGATACAATAAAAGACTTTTACAAACTAGTTTCTTACATTTTCTTAACCTGAAAGTCAATTCTTTTCAAAAGGTAGTTAATTTATATTGATTTTTTACAAAGTCCTAATGTGTGTAGAGTATGGTTCAGATAGCACCGGACTGGGTGGTGAAGGATAGGTTTAAGTCAAGTCTCTAACTTTCACGAGGCTACAAATTCCTCTGGAAGTTTACCTCTCTCATTTTGTTATTTCACATTTCCAATATGAAAATATTACAAAAAAATCTAAGGTCTTATTCTAATATGAGAAATAGTTCTATTTGTAGATGCACATCGTAGTTGTCCATAAGAAAAGTTGATCATATAAGTAAGTCTAATGAGCCATGAGATACAAATTCAGGAACTCAGCCTTATGTGATGTCCACTGAGTGAGAGTGAGAGTGTGTGTGCCTGCGCGCATGTGTGTGTGTGTGTGGGGGGGGTGATTCTGAGGGTCAAAGCCAGGGCCTTGCACATTGGGTAAGTTCTCTACAACTGAGTAGCTCATCCCTACCAGCAATAATGTGCACTGCTAGAAATGTTTTTAAGAACAATATACCTTATTTTAAAAATGCTTCAAGCCAAGAGTATTTCCCAGAATGCTTAGATTATTTGTGAATACTTACATGAAAACCAGCTACTATTATATAAGTATGTCTGTTTCTGTTAAATAAATATTTCAGTGATGCCTTAAGAGGCCTGTTGCTTGATCAGAATTAACCATGTGGAGCAAAGAACAAGGTGGCACTGTGAATAAAGTATCTGGTTTGGGTTTTATAGAACTGCCAGGTGCTTCTTCATTAGGGTTTTTGCTATACCTGTAATACATGCTTGTGTTAACTGATATTGGGTGGTATATAAGGAGCTTGATAATATGTCTAGTGTCTGAGGGACTCATATATGAGAAAATACTTAAATCCATATGCACAAATCAGTTTTCCTAGAGTAATATTTTCTTTTAAAAGTAAATAAGTTAGACAGACATGGTGACATATGCTTGAAATCCCAGCACTCCAGAGGCTGAGATAGAAGGATTTTGAGTTCAAGGCCAACCTGGGCTACATAGGGATATTCTGTCCCAAGAAAACCAAAATGAATGAATGAATGAATAGATGAATAATAAATAAGATATCCCTGGGGAAAAAAAAAGAAACACTTAGGAAATATTGGCTACTTTGGACTGGTGTCATTGTTGTAACTCAGCAAAGGTAGCCATTGAAGGTAGTGGGCATTGTCCCAAAAGGGCTACAACTATGTGACAGTCTTCACATGTGTAGATTGCTTGTCATGTAAGTGACTCAGTGCCTTCACACTGCCAAAGGTTGGGTTTATTCTCAATGAAACCATTATGACTACTCTCCTCTAATCCTCTGCTGTCACATAATTACAAGCATACACAACACACTTTCATTAAGATAAATTAGGCTTTAACTTGAACCTTCTCCATTTTAGTCTTGAGTAGCCTGTGAATTGTATAAAACTGACTTCAAGTTTAGATTATCACTCAAGTAGTGACTAATCTAGAGTAACCCAACAATAAACTACTATCACACCCAGGAAATAGCCATAGGTTTGGGACAATATGTAGACAATAAATGAGTATTTATTGAGTTACCACAGTGACAATCAAACAGGTGAAAATATATAGGTCCATCTTAAACTCAAAAGAAATAAGTTAATGTAAATGCCAGGTGTTATTTTTCTTGCTTCAACCCCAAAATAAAATTTGTTCCAAGCACTTTGAGACAAAATTATGAAAGATCTAATATGTCTTTGGTATCTTTCTTGGTTTTATGTAGCCCGGGCTAGTCTCAACTATGATCCTCTTGCCTCAGCCTCCTGAGTGCTGGATTACGGCTGTGTGCCACCACACCTGGCTGTCTTTGGTATTTTAATGCACCCTCTGTGCTCCTTTATTCCATCTCCTTCAGCCCCATATCCTTTAAGGAATTTCAAAATCCTGTTCCTTTAGCCTTTGCCCATTAAATGCATCCCAATAGAGAAAAAATCATATGAATCATTTGCTCCTTATTACAAATTTAATTTACCGGTTACTTGCTTCAAAATTATTTGCATTTTAAATATCTCTATTTGTGAAATGAAAGAAGTTTGTGTTCTATAAAGAATTTTATTCCAATAAAGAAAGGCTTTGGGGAAGGAGAGAATAATGTCTTAAAGTAATAAATTGCATAGCAAGTTGAGGCCCTAAGTTAAAACCCCAGTCTCACCAAAAACAAAACAATTTCATTCCAATAAAGAAATGAGGCAGGTATTTTAAGAGAAAAATTTCACTCTGATGGGGATGTGACTCATAAAAATTACAGCACAGGGAAATGAGTAGAGCTTTATCTACCAGGAATCTTGATTTCATAAGATCTCATAGACAACCTTAGGTAACATTACAGCTGTATTAGGGAACAGGGTTTTTCTTAAACCTCAACTAATTGAGGTAATTAATTCCTCTCGTCATTTCATGGTTCTTGAAAAATTTCCTTTGTTTTGTTTCTCTTAGTTCTTAAATTCCTCTCCAATTCACTTTCCCCCATATATAATCTCTTTGATATGCTTTTCCAGCCAACCTTTTATGTATGTATTCAGCAATGTTTAAAGAATGAACCACATACAAAGTACAGTATACCCTATAATGCTTTTCCTTAGGCATCTAGTGAGAACCCAAATGATCTTCCCATGTACAGCTGAAGTAGACAAAGTACAAGGAGATACCACACTAATTTTACCACTAGATGTAAATGTTAAGTTTCAAAAGTCCAGAAGATCACTTTAGCTTTCCTGTTGCCTACATTGGACAAAAACTATAAGGAAAATCAAAATTGAAGGTGCTCATATAATTAGAAAAATTTCTTGATACTTTTCATAATTAAAAATCTGTAATAAATCGTTAGTGAAAATTACCCAAATATTGCATCTTATCTGTATATCTTAGTATCTCTGTAACAAATACGCATTTTTTAATGTTTAAAAAGTTTTCATAACAATGTATGGTAAATTTAGCTGGTAGATGTAACTGGTGAAATACTGAATAATGCCTGTTAGGTTCAAACTATTTAATGAAGCAAGGATAGATGAGAAAGAAAACAAACCAACCTTAACAGACTGGACGGCCTTTATGAGAAGCCAGAGAGGGGCACAAATACTCACGGATGAATCCGAAAGTAAGTGGCGCACAGTTGTGGTAAAGCATGGTCCTAAAGTAGAGAGGAAGGAGGGGAAAAAAGGAACAGGATAGATGGTTCCAGGAAGGGAGAACAGGTGTCTGGGTGGGTGAAATAGGCCATTTTGCAAGTCGTTCACCTGTTCAGGGGAGGAGAGGAATTTTGAGGTAGCCTCAAGGCGGGGTTATTTGTTCTTTTGTAACCTTCCATTAATGCCACTTAAAGATTAAAATTTAACATACAACATTACATCATAATTGATATGTGGGTTACTTTCAATGTATCGCTTCAGTTAAATAGCTTTTGTGCAGGTATTTTACATATGGAATACATTTTTTTCTTCTGCTTCTCCTGACCTGTGTCTTCTTTCACAATGAAGTGGAATTTACCACCAAAAATTGCAGTTCAACAGAAATAAAAATGCAGGGATAATTTTGAAAGTCATCTATTGAGCAGGGGTTTTCTGAGACATGGCAAGACGCTGAGGGAAATGCATAAACCATAGAAAAAGAGCTACAAAGGGAGCGAGCAGTGGAAGCGTGATTTTAGGTATTTAAGGTGTTTTGAGCAGTTGCTATTTGGCACCTAGGGTAGGACCCACCTTTTTTACTGCTTGTTAATCAAAACCCATGGCTTCCAAACCTTTAAAGGACAGTTCTGTATCCAAAATTAAGTTATTTTCATATATGCATACAAGGTACTTTGATCAAATTCACCACCTTCACTTGCCTTTTCTTCTCTACTTGACCCTGCCTCCCTTTATTTTTTTAACAAATCTTAATGGATTTTATTATTCTATTTGAATGCATGCAATCATATTAACATTCTTTTTGCCCTTCTCCTTCCTGCTGTTCCCTCAAACAATCCCCCTTTAACATTCATATCATTTATTTTTTTAGATCTACATTCTAAATATGAGAAAAAACATATTTGTCTTTCTGAACACAGCTTATTTCTCTTCAGTTCTGTCCATTTTTCCTGCAAATGACATGATTTCAAATTTTCATTTTTATTTATAATGTATAA